TAATTTTTGATGCCACAAACTTCTTTCTTCTTTTTTTAGTTCCATTCTATCCCTCTACATTACAGTTCTTGATGTGAAATGAATTTTTTCTGCTTTCCCTGTTTCGGGCTAACATTAGTCAGCGTTGGAGTCAATAGTTCAGGTGAATTGAGCTCGTGTGAAAAGTTGTGGAGTAGCTATGAGTTGGGTTTTAATTAATGACAAGGGCCTCTACAAGGCCTTTAATCTAAGACAGGTGAATACATTTGATAAGAGAGTAACCAGTCAGTAAGCTTTGCCCATCCTTGCTGCAAAAGAAACGCTCTGCTCCTTATCTTTTGTTCCTACCAGGTTATTACCTCCAAATTCTGATGAATCTGCCTCCTCTCAACTTGGCGTCTCCTTGCTCCTTTTAATGAACTTTAAATAAAGTATATCTAAGAGCGCAGTAGAGCGGATGATTGTTTAGCCCGATGGTCCCAAGTCCTCGAGCAATATCATCCCCAAACGTAATGAAAAGACCACATCTTAGTTTGGTTACTCGTTGTTTCGCCACATGCATGCCCTTCAGGGCTCTTCATAGTCATCTCTGCTTTTAGAAAAGGATTTTCTCTGTGAATTGACTTCGCCCACAACATGGGACGATTCTTGGTTGGATGGCTAACCAAACAACATTTTTATTGGCCAGCTTGGTTAAGAGTTGTTTGGCACTCGGTATGCCACTCGGGTCTCCTCACTGACTACTCTCGTGAAGCGTATTCTCTCTGTGAAGTGCTCTTACCATCTCTATTCGTTGGATCGGTAGTGAACTTTACTAAACCCGGATCCACCTACTAATTTAGTCCTACCTCGAAATTTCACCAATCCGTCAACGAGAGCCGGTTTTAGAAGGGTTTTTTGTGAGAACTTATTTGCAAGGCTACAAGAGAATAATATAGCGCATGACTCAGGCATAGGAACGGATTCCTGGTTAATGGGACGTCAAATCCAGAGTCGTGGACGGAATGCACATTAATTGGATGGATGGATGGGTAAAATGGGTTCAGAAAAGTAAAAAGTTATAGGTAATGGAGAGGGCTCATTCCAGAAGTACTTTTCATCACGTATGACTAATTGCACCACCTCTTTCACTTCTGCAACTCAGGGTTCTTCTCCGTAAGAAATATGGCTCCTAAACGTGCCGGAGAATCGTCTTGTTCAGAGCAAACCATTCCTGCTTTCCCGTCGGTATGTTGTAACCAACCTCACCATGAACGAGTATCAAAAGCATTGCTTCTTACCTCGCCACCTACGGTTAGTATCACAATTCCGAGCAATAGCTATAAATATGCACTCGGGAGGTCTTTATTTTGAGACGTCGACCGCACGATGGCATCATAAAGCACCTCGTCTGCACAATTCCTAGAACTTTTTTATTTTTATGGGAAAAACACTAGGGGGCTCTGCGTTAGCTTATGGTTTCTCTATCCCCCCATAAAATTTTCTTTACATCACATCTTCATGAATATGAAGGAGTGCTTTTTTGTGACAGCAGATGTGAGCCTTTCATGATGGGATGTTAATAACAACTTTTTGTATTTATGATACCAACAGAGAAGCTTCCGATTCCTTCGCCCACCCTTGGGCTATACGACTACTATCGCTATTTTCTGTGAAGAGGACCTTCGAATTAATAATTAATAAAGTAGCAGTCAGAGGTATGTAGCCCCATATGATGACTGGTTTGACCATCTAGGAGGTGCTCGGAAAACTCCAGCTCAAAAGATGATGAACTAGGCAGTAGCTTCCATTCGAAAATGTGAGCCGGGCTAACGGGAAAGCTCTCAAAAGAGAGCGTTTTCTTTGCTCACTGTGGACTCAACGAGAACGTTTCTTTACGGATTCAGTTACGGCTCATTTTTTTCTGAAGTAGGAGAAAGTAGCTTCTCTTACTGGCTGAGTTTTTTTTCGAACTTCATGTTTGTCAGCTGTCTTCAAGTTGTTTGTGGAACAGTTTGAGAGACTTCTTGAAGTAGAGCGTGATTTGACAGTTCCACCTAAAATAATTGTTCTTCGATGTTTTTCTAAATTTGGCGAGTGATCTTTCTATTAACCAGATTTGACTCTCACTTAATCTAGGCATGATAGTGATGTCTCAAGTGTTCTCCTCTGAAGCCACGGCTAAGAAAGACAATTTGGCCAAAGTTTCGGCTAGTCGCCTTCGCCAGAGCCTGGAAACAAAAAAAATTTGGGATCGATATTGATCAAACAACGTTTTAACCCCAGCTTAGTTCAGGTGTAGGCTATAGACATCGGAAAAGGTCCTGCGAACCACCACAGCAGTTAACCCACCTCAGATGGCCAAAAGAAGATTTTTCCAGGTGTTCCTATGCTTCTTCCCTGTGAGCAGTTTTTCTGGGAAGGAGCACATCACTACTCTGTAAACGCAAATGTGATTTCTTCCCATACTTGTTCCATTCTCGCTTGTTAGATTTAATAGTTTTCTTCCAGCCGAACTCAGAAATGTTTTGACCACTGGTGTAGGTTTTTGGTCGGTACTGCACCCAGTATGATAGAGGAGCAGATGGAGCACATAAGTCTGAATCCCAGGAATATGGCTGGTTTGACCTTCTAAGAGATGCTGAACTGCCAACTCGAAGCGGGGGACTACAAACTCAAAGAGGTCTACGTCATCAGAGACTACCTGGGAAAAAAGTGTTAATGTCGGCCTCTTCTGAATTCTAAGAAGTGAAGTGGCTCTAGTTATCTGATTTGAACCGAGTTGACTCACATTTTGTCTGATTCCTTTGTCAGTACGGCTATCTCGACGATAGTTCTTTGTCGGTAGTGGTATATTTGTAGTCAGTGCTAATATTCGAGTAGTTTTTGGTGTACTTCTAAGTGAAGCTCTCTTTTGCTGCTCGGTTCGCTGCTCATCAGTGTTGCTTCGAATTCAGACATTAATTCGAACATTTTGTCCAGCTCTTCCCATTACATTTATTGGTATTCTACCAGTAATGCCTGATGCAGATGTGCAGATCCTGGGTCCGGAATCGGATCCTGAACCTGCCAAGGCCAACCAACCCTTCCGTCCCAGCTAGTTCGAGGGAATGATGGCTTACTGGAGCAGAAAACCGTTTGGGAAAAGATCTTCATTGAGGTTACCTTTATAGTACATTTCAAAAGCGAAGAAAAAAATTCTCTTCTACATTAAGTGAGTTGTCTGCTCCTCGTCAGAGTTTCGCCTCAATATGAGCTTTCCTCCAGTGGCCCAGTGTTTCCGGTAAGCCGTATGTATTTGTGATTACTGCTTTGTTCTTTGTTCCTTCATGGCATTTATGATGAATGACTGTGAAGAGAGTTCAGGTAGGCGTAATATTACAGCCTGCTGAACTCAATATCGAGAACTGGTAACGAAGTTTCTAGGGATTTTCCAGGGACTCCGTATTCCGTGAAGCTGATTCTACTTGAGCACACTATCTTAAGCATCGATTACTGATGGGATCGCCTTGTAATTTTGCTCTTCCAGTATGTTCTAAAACGGCATCCTTTTCAAAGATGTAATAGGAGTTGGACAGAGTTGGGTGGATAGGCCTTCAAGCATTGAGTAAGGACTCTGCTCTGGATTATACTTGCTCTCGAAAACATCTCGTTTCTCTATATGATACTCAGTCAAGTAATCGCTTTAAGTAACTTACTTGCAACTGCAGTAGGTACTGCGTATAGTTGTTATTGATACTTATTTTTCAATTTTTCACTTGGAGTGACGTAATTAATCAATCAGATTAATTATTTAGTGAAGTCCCAGTGCTCACTGATCTATATAGTATGAGCGATGGGACTTCCTTTACGGTATTCTCGAGTCCTCCCGAAAGCGGGCATAAATTGTCAGCGATTTTCCTTTCAGAAAGAATATTCTTCGATCTGTTCCATATTTGGGAAAAGGATATTTTAAGCGAGCCTTGTTCTGGGGTAATTAAGTCAGATGTTCCTCAACAAAAGAAAAAAAACTCTTCTGAGCTGTGGAAAAGATGTTACAGTCATTTTACATCAAACCAATAGCCTTCAAATAAGTTCTTTTGTCGCACATGTGGTAGACACATGTGCTGGTTCAGTCTTATGGAACAGCCGACGGTTCATTACCACAATTTTCTTTTTTATTGGCAGATTTTTATTGAATTTTTATGATTTTTCTGCGACTACACTTCATCGATTGAAGAAAATTTTTTGGTTTTTTCCACCGCCTCAAAGCAGAGTGGGTGCCGCAACCGGTGCCAGTAATGGAAAAATGAATTTCAAATTTTTAAAAAAAAAAATCAGCAAGTTTGCGTAATTTGTGAATTTAATTTGAATTAGGATTGTGGTGTAAGTATAGTTCTTGAACTAATAAAAAGCAGTTGCAGTGCTATGCTCCTGGAACCACTGTGTCAGGG